AGGCGCGAGGCGCTCTCCTCAGCCGGCGGGGCCGCGGCCGCACCGCGACTTCGCCCTCCAGCCTTGTGGGTTTTACCTGGTCCGCTGAGTGCTTAACCCCTAAGGGGCTCCGGACTGAGTTGAAATCATCATGGATGGCACAAGAATCTCAGATTTTGGGGGCATTAAGTGTTTCCAGCCTCCTGTTTCCAGAGATGGGCGTGAATACGACAAGGCCCCAGAAAGCAATGAAAAAGGAACTGTTCTTTAAGCTTTTTGCCATTAGTTGTCACCTCCTGGCTTCTGGGACAAGATTATCCGCCGTGGCCCTGTTGGTCAGAGCTCCTCTGAGTTGCTTGGCTTGATGAGGAAGGCCGGGCTGGAGAGAAGAACCTCGCTGGGCCGCACGCCAGCCTAGGAGGCTGCAGGCTGCCTCTCCCGCCCGGCTGCACAGGCGCCTTTGCCAAGCCTGTGCCACCTGGTGACACAAATACGGTCAGCTGCAAAGACTGAAGCACTTCAGGTCAGTGAACTGACAGTAACCTGTAGTAACTCCTGTCCTGGAAGCTGAAGCCCAGGCAGCCCACTCTGTGGCTGTGACAGATGAATCAACCATAGAATCATAGAACAGTTTTGGTTGGAAGGGACCTTTAGATGTCATGTAGTCCACTCCCCCTGCAATGAGCAGAGACATCTTCAGCTAAATCAGGTTGCTCAGAGCCCCGTCCAGCGTGACCTTGAATGTTTCCAGGGGTGGGGCGTCTTCCACCTCTCTGGACAACCCGTTCCAGTGTTTCACCACCCTCATTGTAAAAAATTTATTTTTCATATCCAATCTAAATCTACCCTCTTTTAGTTTAAAGCCATTAACCCTTGTCTTGTTGCAACAGGCCCTGCTAAAAATTTTGTTCCCGTATTTCTTACAAGCTCCCTTTAAGTGCCGAAAGGCCACAATAAGGTGTCCCCAGAGCCTTTTCTTTTCCAGGCTGAACAGCCCCAACTCTCTCAACTTTTCCTCATATGAGAGGTGTTCCAGCCCTGTGATCATTTTTTGTGGCCTCCTCTGGACCTGCTCCAAAGTCCACGTCTTTCCTGTGCTGAGGAAGAAGTGCCTTGCCAGTTACCATTACTCAGCTGACATGGTGTACACCCCCTGACCTACCTCAGTGCTTTTGATCCCGTACCCATATGTTGACATATTCATATCTATTTATATAACCAAACCCAACCGTCAGCATTTGTAACAGCATCTTCCCATTGTAGTACTTTGGTAGGTGTTTTAAGCTAAAAAAAAGCCAAACCCAGTGTTGGACAGAGCCTGTAACTGCTGAGGACTGCACCAGGTGGCAGTGCAACCCCACAAACGCAGTAGAGTGCGCGGACTCCTCTGGGTAACATTTTTACGCACTGAAGCACTGACCTATATGGCTCACTTACTCCCCACTAATGGCAGAAAAAGCAGCTTGAACTTTTTTCTGCCCTGCTGCTCCCATCACTTTGCGGGTTCCCTTGAGGAATTACACCTACTAAATTATCTCCTCCTGCTAGAAATAAAAACTCACGCATCACCAAGAGCCAGTTTTCAGGCAAGTATTACTGGGACTATTAAGAAAGGCAGTGACCATACTCTCTTGGATAAACATATGAGAATGGAAACATCAGCGACATGCTTGCTTCTCGTCCAAGAAGCTGCTGAAATACTCCACAGGTGACCGAGTGGAAAGATGTGCCGGGTCTCAAGAAACTGCGTTATTTAAGTCAATATTTAAAGTACAGAAAAAGAGTATTAATCTAGCAGTAGTACTGTAGGAAAAGATAGATGTTAGTTTTCTTCCTCTTGCGGTCTGTCAGTATTCAGCATCCAGCATTCCATGAATTGCTTTCATTGGGTATGTGGAAATCATTTGTCTGATTCAGATATCCTATCCCAACCATCTGTATTGCAAAAAGTATGCATAATGCCCTAAACATAAACAACAGCATTGCAGCATTTCAGTGCTAAGGGTGTACAGTGTACTTCAGGTTAGAAAGAGAAGAGGTTTAGTTTGCAGAGCAGTGTGGGTATTAACTAATTGCCTTGAAGTCCTTGCTACACGGATAATATGATACCATGGAAGTCCTATGAGTTTATATTGTTTCCAGTTCAATTTCAGTTTCTACAAAAATATTTAAGAAACCCCACACTTCCCTCTTTCAGAATTCAGAATCAACAGAGACTCCAACAGTTATGATACTTCTCACAGATATTTCTTCCCCTCTACTTTTAGCCATCTCCTACTTATCAGGAAGATTTCATTGGGAAAAAAAAAGTCACAAGTTTTGATAATATGGTGACTCATGTTATTTACTTAATTGTTTCAAAGCACAGTGAGGTTCATCCATGTATTTCAATTTCAAATTCTGGCAAATGGAAAATTCATTCTCTTTCAGAGGCTCAGAGACTCCTTTGCTATCTTTTCCAGATTTTTCTTTTTACATCAATTACCTATATATCTTTACCTACATGAGCCAAATTACAAGAAGCTTCTTTATGCAGACACACAAAATTTAGGTATGATTTCGGTGGGGGTCCATGCAAGTTCAGGTTTCTGTCCATTTGTATTAAATTGCCAAATTAGTTCTGTTAGGTTTCTCGAATGTCAGAAAGCAACGACCATGATTTCTGTAAGAGCAGGAGTGTAACTTTAGGACACAGATTGAGAACTGTAACAGTTTTACACAAATTAAGACACTTTTTCATATCCTAAAATGATAGCAGTAACATAGTCTACTCCTTTATCATTTCTTCCCCATCAGCTCTGTGTTAGGAAAGCTAGAAATTGTATATGAATTGACTGAGTGTACCCACTTATCTTTGAGGTACACTGTATGTGCATTGTTCTGGTTATTTTTTTAGGTTTTGGTTTTTATTTGAGTTTTTTGTAATAGCAGTTGTGCAAAGTTACTATCCATTTTTTTGCACTGCAGAAAAAGAACGGGTCTCTGTATTATTACAGTGATCTCAGCCATCCTTTTCATTCAGATAGGGTAGTAAATAATCCATTCTGTTTAAAATCTTCTGTCACTTGCTTTCAGAGTCATATTTTAGCAAAGAGTGCTTCAAAGATATCATTCTGATCCATTACTGCAGCAATCCTGTAAATTAATTCTTCTGATGATTCTAAGCCTCATAGACCAAGATTAATTCCACCCGCCAGAAAGTGGATAAATTAAAACAAGAAGGCATTTAGAAATGGTTGTTGATTTCACAATAACACAAATGTCAATTAGAGCCTTAATCTCATTTTCTGTTAGCCATACTTTAAACCATCAAAATTAAATGTACCTGTCTAACTTCTCCATGAGAAACACTGACAAAAATTTGGTCATATAATTACACTGGCAAGCCTAAGGCAGCAAAAACTTAAGAATTCCTTAACATTAGTCACAGGCTTACATGCTTTGCTGAATCATGGCCTTTGTCTATCAAAGATCTGAGTACTGATTTATCTGACAAGGATTTGGGCACTAAGAGTTATGTGGACAAGGGAAAAATAATCGTGGCATGTTGCAAAAGCATCCAGATGACACAGCGAAAGGTTGATTCATCCTTTTTTATTTGTTAGAAACCGTGATTCAGGAATTTGACAAAAATCTGAGCAGCCTTCAGATCATATTTTTTCAGCAGCTGCCAAAACATGTTTGAATAGGCTACAGCTGTTTCTTTTCAGGTGAAAATTCTGCCTTGGTGACTCATGCCTTTCTTACCTCAGCATTAGACTAAAGCAGTGTAGCGTGCATAAGGCTATGACTTTAATCCACTGGGAGATGAGAAATGAATATTTGAGCTACTGCCTAGTGTGAATGTACCATGTCCTTCAAGAGAAAAAATTGATTTTTTTTTTTTGGTGGAGTTAAACTCAGCTTTCTGTAAAAATGTTTACAATGTCACTTTTTACTTTCTTTGAAGTTATCAAAACTACTTAAATTATTTAAATCCCTGAGTTTTTACCCAAGTTTATTTTTAGAGATGGCAAGAATTTTATCTTCCTTCCTTACATATAATAACATTATTTTCAACACAATTTCAAAGTTAATAGGCTTCAAATAGGCCTTGTTGTTGATGATCTTCCAGTTTCCTCTGAAAACAACATAAAGAACATTTTGCACATGGAATCTATCTATGAAACCTCTGTGGAAACTCCAGCGTTAGAATCCCAGTCACGAGAGTTTCTGTGTCCATTTTGTTATTATTATTGTATTTCCAGAGAAAAAAACATACTAGTGAGATGCAAAAAACAGTGGAATACAATTGTGCCTTGAAATGCCTGTGGCATCCGTAACCTCTGATAGGCCATATTTGAATATTGTAAAGCCTTGTAAAGCCTATCTTTTCTATTTAAAATAATATTACTTCATTAAGAACATACACAGTATGGAAATTAATGTGCAGGGTCATGTTAGACATCCTTACCTGCAAATCCTGATATGTTATTAATAGAAATATTAAACTTGTTCAATGTGATTAAAAAAATACTGGTAAGAAGTGATATTTAACAGTTTTCTTACAAATGCTAGAAAGGACAAGGTTTTATCTTTTTATTCATCATTCAGGTAAGAACTTCCTGTCATTGTCCAGGAGCAAACCTTACCCAATGCAGAAAAGTAAAAGTCAAATAATCCAAACGATGAGGCAGTGTTCAGCCAAACTTTCAGCCTATATATATATTATTTCAAGAGCTTATAAGTTTTTGCCATATACATTAGTAATTTTTCATGTTATTTTTTTCTTTCTAAGCTTTAAGTATCCCTAGCCTTGAGTGCTCTGGTTTCTCCAGTAGTGGCATTTACAGGGACAAACACACTTCCTTTCCTGCATGTTGCATGGTCAAGGTGTTTCTTTTTTTGCATATCTGTATATGTACATAAATTTAATATGAATTCCAAACTTACCAGTGTCAAGCTTCACCATTCTGGGATCTTATTCTTCTGCAATAACATTGAACCCCTCGTTGAAGGCAGTTCTAAACGTCCTGTGAGACACCACATCTCAGCTAGCCTCCTGCTACACTGGATGTGACACAGGGCCAGTTTGTTCACCCTGGATTCTGTATCCATCTTGGAGGCACTGAAAGACGGATGGAATATTCTTCAAGAGCTGGTTAAAAAAAAGAACAAACAATAGTCCAGCCTCCCTAGGTACAAGTCCCATGTTTGAACAAACAGAGAAGTATTTACTCTCATCTAGTAAGTAATTACTCATCTTCCAGGATGCAAAATTTGACACTGATAAACTAGGAAAAAAAAAGAGGTGTAAGTCAGGTATCTAAACTCCTTTAAACATTCAGCTTTAATTGCTTTGTACAGACAAGAAAGCGAGAGGTAAATAAAATTAATTAGTGAAAGAACGGATTAATGGTAAAGTTTTTATACTTCAGTGAGGCAAACGCTTTTGTTCACTCTTGGTTTTGCAGTCTCTCTCTTTGTGTTCAGGGGTACTACTCATACATCTGAAGTTAAACATGGAAATGTTTGCAGCATCAGACCTGGAGGGTACAGGAGAACATCTGCTTCATTTTTTGTTACTAGTCCTGCTCCTACCTGAGCAAAAGTGAGAAAGCTAGAATATATATGTGCAACATCACTGGCAATGGAAGAAGGGGAATTACCGGTACATTCTAAAATGAAGATGAGAGTTGATATTTGACCACAGATGTGAAAAAGATGTTTTCATTCTGAGACTTTTAAAAGCATTCAGATGATTTGTCTATAATTACTCCCAAGAAATCAAGGAGATGGAGTGTTAACTAAAAGAAAATAGAAAAATCATTATAACTATTTGTAAATATTAGTCACCAGTACCCTTTCTTAATCAAATAAACTATCACTCCTGATCAATCTCATCTTTAATGAGCTTTTTCACACTGATAACAATGGCTGCAGTCTACAATAAACACAGTTCAAACAAGATTGTTGTTTAGATTGAACTCTAGCATTTTCCTTAGAAAAATTGTTGTCTCCTAAAACTTCTTCTCTCCTAAAATTATTTCAGCACAATAGCCCATTGTAACTAAGTAACTGCATGCTCCTTTCCTTGATCTAGCAGGTTAGTGACCAGGTCTGCCTTATTTATGAAAGCAGCTCATCAGAATAAGTACTGAGCACTGATGATATGCAATCAGTTTACAGCACTATGGAGGAAAAAGTATTATTTAGATA